ATCTGATTGAATATTTTTTTCTGACACAGGATTTCTAATTGGGACTGTCATGTGCACCTGCTTTGCTGCACGAACAAATCCTCCAACAGATCGGTGTCTAACAAAGCAAACAGAGTGAATTATTCAGCTCAGAGAAATGAATTTGTTGCTCTTCCAAGCTCTTCCTTTCCACCACACTGCAATCTGTTGAGCAGGTAGCTGTATTGCAAGACTTGAGAGCACCATATATAGAACTGAGCAAATTCTGACTTTATTTCTCTCTCGTTATCCCATTTCTTATGGGATCCGACTGTGTATATTTTGGAAACGAGTTTTCCAGACAACTTGAAACTAATTCACTTTTTGTAAACCCGGCGTTCTAAGATGCAGAATTGTTGAAGATAATACATATTTTTCATGCCTCCATCTGTCAGCAGGCAGCTTCTCTTTATTAAGAATCTATAGAATTAACAAATAACGGAGCAAAATTGGAAGCTCATTGTGGTCATTTGAAAAGAGACCCTGACTCCGTCTGGCTAATTTCACTGGAGGATATTTTGAACTGAGCTCGATCAGTAGTACATTAATTTTTTTGTAGACAGAACCAGATTCTTGCTATTTGAGTTAATGTTGGTGACTTAATTGTTGGAGACTGTGTGTGTGGGTGTGCTGAAGTCAGCATTCTGCATCTTTACAATATGAGGATTAATTTACATTGAACTGCTGCTAACTGACTCTGACCCTGACCCCTCGCGTCCTTGGGTATTTATTTTCATCACATTAATAGTTGTACTCAGTTTTTGTGTGCAGAGGTAGAACTGCCAGGAACTGAATTTAATTACGATAGTGGATTATAGCAGACCACAGGCTGTCGAATAATGCAGTAAACACTGAATGGTGCTCCTGTGACAACGCACTCACTCAAAACTGATCCAAGGGCAGTGCAGAACTCAGGAGGGAGTGGTAATGTCACTGGATGAGTCACCCAGAGGGACAGGCTCATACTCTGATGATACAAGTTCAAATCTCACTACAGTAAAAATCTACAATTGAAAGCTAGTCTGAGTAATGGTGACCATGACAACTATCATCGACTGTCATTAAAGCTACATCCATATTCTTCAAGGAAGGAAATTTGCCATCTCTACCTGGCCTGCCTAGATGTGACTCCAGGCTAACAACAAAGTGGTCTCTTCCTGATTGCCCTCTGAAAAGATCTAGCAAATGATGCTGTGCAAAGGCAGTTGGGAGGTGCAAAAGAACTAGCCTTACCAGGCACACCAAAGTTCAATGACAGAATAAAGGAAATGAACTCTTTTAGTACAAAACCTCTGACATCGCACACCTTCCAGGTCATTGATGCTCTGACACTGCAGCATTCCCTCAATACCTACCCTCCAAGAGTGTGGCACTCCCTCAGCACTGACCCTCTAACACTGCAGCACTCCCTCAGTATTGACATTCTGACTGCGCGGCACTCCCTCAGCACTGACCCTCTGACAATGCAGCGCTCCGTCAATATCTGCCCTCCAATGCAGGAGCGTTGATCAGTAAGCTCATAGATGTCAGTAAAATTAGTGGTGTGGGAAATAGTGAGGAGGATAGCCATAGATGACATGAGGATATAGGCAAACTAGTGAGATGGGCCAATCAATGGCAAATGGAATTTAAACTGGATAAATGTGAGATGATGCACTTGGGCAGGATCAACAAGTCAAGGGCAAAAATGATGAACAGTAAGAACCTGAGAAGCACTGAGGATCAGAGATGCCTTGATGTCCTTGTCCACCAGCCCCTTAAGATATCCGGACAGGTGGATAAAGTATTCAGAAGACACATGGGACACTTGCCTTCATTAGCAGAGGCATAGAGTTTAAAAGCAGGGAGGTTACGATGAAACTGTATAAAACACGGGTGAGACTGCATCTGGAGTATTGTGTGCAGTTCTGGAATCCACATTACAGGAGGGACATGATTGCACTGGAGAGGGTGCAGAGGAGATTTACTAGGATGTGTCTGGGCTGGGGAGTTTTAGGCTTGAAGAGAGATTGGACAGACTGGAGTAACTTATCTTGGAGCAGAGCAGACAGAGGGGGTACATGACTGGGATGTAGAAAATTACAAGGGCATTGGTTAGACAGGAAGAAACATTTCCCCTTCGTGGAAGGATCAATGACCAGAGTGTATAATTTAAAGTTAGGCACTGGAGATTTAGAGGGGATGTGAGAGGATTTTGATTTTTCACCCAGAGTGTGCTAGGAATCTGGAACTCAGTACTATAAATGTGGTAGAGGCAGAAACGCTCATTACATTGAAGAAACATTTAGATATATGGTTGAGGTACCAAAACATACAAGGCCATGGGTCAAGTGCTGGAAAATGGGATTGGAATGCTGCTTGTTTTTGACTGTTGCAGACTCGATAGGCAGAAGGGCCTTTTTCACCTCTGTAGGCCTCTTCTGACTCTGTGTGCGAGTGCAGAAGTGTTTTACATGAATGATTCCAGGGATGAATAACTTCAGTTATGAGGATGGATTGGAGAGTTTGGGACCGAGGAAAAGGCCAAGAGGAGATTTGACAGAACTTTTCAAAAGCACGAAGAGGCTGGAATAGATCAGGAAAAAAAACTCCAGCTCATAAAAAAGGTTTTAAATGTGAGGGCATGGGTTTCAAGTGCTTTGCAAAAGAGGCAAATGTGATGTGGGAAGAATACTTTTTCACACAGTGAGCAGTTCAGGTCTGGAAGTGTGATGGAGGCAGGTACATTTGAGGCATTAAAGAGGTGCCAACAAGAACAACTGCATTTGAAAAGTCTGCATACTATCCAAGCCTGTCCTGCATCGGGACACAGGCAAAAAGTGTCCGTTTCTCAACCTTGCTCCCATTGAAGTCAGAAACTTAAAGATGAGTATAATTCCTCTCCAGCTCACCACAATGGGATTTGAATCCAACTCCCCAGACCATTAACCTGAGTTTCCAGATTACTATTCCAGTGACTTCACCATGATCCCACCAACTCCCCGATCTGATCACAAGAGAGGCAGAATGGGGATTCTAACTGCTCTAAAATGCCCTGAGTAATGAAAGGGAGAATAAGCTAAAATTCCTGACTCTGCCCTGTGATTCCTGCGGGAAGGTAGCTGGGGATGAGTGGAGGTTAGAATCATTTTCTAATGAAGTCACTAATCACATCAATGCTTGTACTAAGATATGAAGTTCATTGCTATAACCCCTTCTTTAGGAACCAAACTATGTCATCTGGAAGTTTAGGTGAGGAAGTTGCAACTGTTGAATTGCCAATGTGGTTGAGGACACCACACTCAGGGGTTGGATGAGATGGGTCCCTTCAGGGAGGGTAACAAAGGCATAAGAGCTTAACAGAGCTCAGTGTGAATTGCATTTGAACTTACTCAGAGAAATAGATTACATTGCAATGAACATTGCTGTAATTAAAGTCACTTGAAATCAGATTAAAAAATTCTTCATCCAAGAGTGAACAAGTAAATGCTGCTTCTCTTTTCAATTATGTACTTGTTTTCCTTCCTACATTTGGAAATATATTCCCCTCAGGTTTTATTTTCACTAGTGCAATGTTCAAGATCTATAAACCTCTTTGATTAAAGCAGGCTTTCTCTATACACTGAGTGAAAACACTGAACCATAATGACTCATGATGAATATTAGACCCTCCTCAGAGATAACAAGCTCATTACAGTATTTGCTTAATAAATGAAATGGTTCTTCAGGAGAAGGGAAATATATTTTCAATTAAATTTATCATAACATTGTAAAAGGGCTGAGGATAATCTATTTGTGAATTTTTTTCTTGAGGTGGAATGATGGATGATGCATTTCGCCTACCCAACTCTCATGTCTAGTATCATAAACATAAGGTATAAGTGGAAGGGGTGAGAAATATCCTGTGCATATTGTTTCCAATTCTTGAGAGGGCACTTTGTCCCAAATCTGTAATTGAGCATCAGTAATTTGATGGTGACAGTTTTGAATGCATCCCTTCAAATAAGTATGGATCTGAAATATCGACTGCCTTCTCTCTCTCTTGCCTAACTGACCCACTGTGTGGGTTTCCTGTGTTTCTCACATTTCAAAACCTTGTAAGGTTTTGCTGTGGTGACCCATCAGACTGGAGGGGTGATGAGCATTGAAGAATGCTGCATTGACAGGCGCATTGGGTTTATACTTGGTCATTTCACCTCGTGGACCAGGCTTCAGTTGTGGCCATTTCAATCCCATGCCGTATTTGTGAAAAGCCTTTGAAGAGTCTCCAGCTCGATCTTACTGGCCATGAGGCTGAGACCCCAGTTCAATATGCCACAGATTGATTGATTGCCATTTTCCCAAAGGCCTTGGATTAGGGAGGGGGAGTGCTTTTTTTAATTTTTTTCATTGAATGTGGGCATTTCTGGCTGAGCCAATGTTTCTTACCCATCTGTGGTTTCCTTGGGAAGGAAATGACAAGCTGTCTTCTTGAATCACAGCAGCCTGTTTAAACAATGAAGCAGTTGGTTATGGTTGAGCACAGGGAATTTTATATCTAACCTTAACTGATCTGGATGCTTTCCAACTGAAGTCTTTTGCCCATCTTGCGTTAGTGGTCATACCTTCACTTTGCTCAGCCCTAAATTCTTGCTAAATCTTCCCTCATCTCACTCATTATTTAAGATGATTGTGGAAGTCTATCTGTTTTGTCTCTTACTTATGCAAAGTTTTATGTAATTACATTTCTTTCATGCATGTTCAGTCATTTTATTACGTTAAAGGTGTCATATAAATGTGATATTGCCTTGAAAAATACGAAAAATCTATTTAAAAATAAATCTGTGAATGCTGGGGATTGGTTCGTCAGAAAAATGATGAATCAGAAATCTTTCTATCTTCAGTGTGCTTAGTTCATAGAATCTAAACTCTCACTTATTCCTTTGATCAAAAAGCCTTTGACCATATTAATCTTTGATGACAATATTCTCAACTCATTTTTATTTGTTTCTTGTTTCCTGCAGTTTAAGTGGACGCTCGTCATTGTGGTGGTTTTGCAGTTGATTTTCATAATCGTTAGCTTTTTATGCCAGAAGAAGGTAGGTCTGATTGCTTTTTCTTTCACGTTGTACCTCCCTCAATCAGCTCCTACCCTTCTTCTGAATTTAGAAGCTTTTTGAACTAAAATCCACAGGTATCAGTCATCACACCTTTGTCATTTTCCTGACCCAGCATAGTTGAAAATCTGATTGGCACCACATCCACAAACATCCATTTCCTGCATCATTGATTGTCAGTAGCAGCAGTGTGTACCAACTACAGGATTCACTGGAGAAATAACACCAAGGTTCACAAGACAGCATCTTCTGAACCCACAAGTACTTCTATCTAGAGGGACATGGGCAGCAAATACATGGGAACACCAACCTTTGCAAGTTCCCCTCCAAATCACTCACTATCCAGACTTGGAAATATATCACCATTCCTTCAGTGGTGCCTGATCAAAATCCTGGAATTTAATGCCTTATAGAATTGTGGGTGTACCTGCACCAAATGGACTTTAGCATTTCAACTCACCCATCGCCTTCTCAAGGGCATTTAGGGATGGTACTGTCTAGCCATTGATACCCACAGACCTTGAATGAATAAAACAAAATCAGCTTGGCTTTGCGAAATGAAGGTTCTTGAGCCTCAGTGTTTCTGTGGGCATATTGATGTCGAGGGTTGGTCCAAAACTAGTTTAGATTTGGACATTCCCAGCTTTCATCCTGGAATCATAGGTCTTAGGTTGAACACTGTGAGGAATAATTAGCACCCCCCCACCCCACCGCGTGTGTGTTTGTGTGTGTGTGTGTGTGTGTGTGTGTGTGTATGTATGTGTGTAGCTATGTGTGTCAGTATGTATGTATATTTATCCATGTGTATACATGTGTGTGTGAGGGTGTGTGACAATGTATGTGTGTGTCAGTATAGCTGTTTGTGTAAATTGCATGTATGAGTGTAAAAGGACAAACTAGGCTTTCTTGAAATGGTATGTTGATACAGTCCTGACTATAGAGCATAAATCTGGGAGGGAAAGAACTGATAATTAAATTGGAGAAAATAACATTAGTTGCTGGTTGTCACTGGTTACGGATAAGGCCAGCCTCAGTTTTTTGTTGTGCAATAGTATTGTGAATTTGTGCTTGCAAAGAACACGCTCTCTAATTGTGTCAACATTTAATTGCAAACCTTTCAAAATCTTATCCCTTTGATTGAGCTGGTCTTCAAGAGCAGAGAATGTATGTCATTTTCAAAACTCTATTAATGTTGCACATCCCCAATTTTTCTTGCCCTCAGCTATGCCCTCAGCTGCTCGAGCTCAAAACTCTGGAATTCCTTCCTTCAACCTTTCTGTCTCCTTCAAATCTACCTCTTTGGCCAAACTTCTAATGACCTGTCCCAATGTCTGTAACACAACTTCTCTTCTTGTTGACAACCCTGTGAACAGCCATGGCATGTTTTGCTCATTGTTGAAATGCTGTAGAAGTGCACATCATTGCTGCCAGTGGGTTTTCAGGAGAGGGCATTAATGGATTGGTTACATTCAGAGATTGTGCAACCAAATGCCAATCAGTGAACGTGCATGTCCTGTGCACTGTCAAGTCCCTTGTTTTTCACTTCCATGCAAGACCAGGGATTGCAAAGACATCACTAGTGGAAGGGGAAAACTAAATTATATTGGATCGCAGCCACAGAGGGTGGTCAGCAGATGTATGGTGAGACAAGAACACTGGCCCAGTAAGCATTTCTGAAAGTCAGAAATTACATCCTGGAAGAAGAGATTATTGGAGGTGGTATCACTATAACATGTCCACTGGGGATGAAAAGACACTTCATCTCAGCAATCAATCTAGCAATTTGCGACGCAATGTGCTGGACCTGTGCAATTGTCCTCCAACCTGATTGCAAAAGGTCGATAACTCCAAGCCAAACAGCCACTCTGATGACAAATGTGACGGGAGGGCCTGTTGGATGAATGGGAACAGTGTAGTAAGGGATAACAAGGTGTAGAGCTGGATGAACACAGCAGCCAGGCAGCATCTGAGAAGCAGGAAAGCTGACATTTCGGGTCTGGACCTTCTCATAGAGTAGTAAGAGCCTGCTTGGTTCCTTGCACCCAGTTAACAATCTGTGGGCCTGATCATTTGGCTCATTTATATTCTACCATATTTCATACATGATTATTCAGAGAAACTGTCCCCCAACAATTCTGCATTTTGAACTTAGCATCATTATCCTGCAATGAGTAACTCACCTCCTTACTTTCCAAAGTCCACCCACAAGATACAAGTAAGGGCTATGATGGAATATTCCCCATTTGTCTGAATGGGGGCAGTTATAACAATACTCAACAGGCTTGACAACATCCAGGACAAAGCAGGCAGTTTGATTGACACCACATCCATGAGATCCATTCCCTCCGCCACCGATACTCCGCACCATCCATGTGTAACATTTATAAGATGTACCGTATATTTTGTCAAGGCTCCTTAGGCAGCACCTTCCAAACCCATTACCACTTCCATCTAGAAGGATAAGAGCATTAGATACATGGGAACACCACCACTAGCAAGTTCCCCTCCAACCATATGCCATCCTGACATGGAAAAATATTGCCATTCTTTCACTTTCGCTGGGTCAATATCCCGGAGCTCCCTACAATCCATGGACTGCAGCAGTTCAAGAAGGCAGCTCACCAACCCTTTCTCAAGAGCAATGAGGGAATGAATAAAAAATACTAATTCAGAGCATACAATGGTTCCACTTCCTTAAAGGTCCCTCATTTATTATGAGTCAACTGGCTTTCTCGTCTCTGTGTGTATGTGTTTTTCTCCCTCCTTTCTAATTCTTATGGCTCTTCTTGTGGCCACATCTCCAGTTTCTCCGTTGGATAAGATTACAGAAAGTCTTACTGAGGACAAAATAAATTCCTCCTTCCACATTTCCTTCCTAGCAGATTATTAAAACATAACGCAATGACTGAATTTTATGTTCCAACAGCTAACTTGAACTAGTCTCCCCATTGTTTTTGATTGACATGGTTTTACTATTTGCCTTTCATTATAAACACGAGAAGGCCTCATTTTGATAACCACATCATAATGCTTATTTATGTAATGTCTACGTTCCTGTTGTGTTCGGGTTTTCTACTGTTGAACTCCATGTCCAAAGAAGCACACACAATAATATTGGTGCTAGTTTAATAGGCTTCACAGCTAATGTTGCATCTGAAGGTTCCCAAAGTGACTGTGATCACAGCAACAATAAGGAAACATCCTTCACATCATTCTGGCTCTTGATCACGGAGACTACTCGCTTCCTCCACCCTTCCTGAATTACCTCTTTGGCTCTGGTCATTCTAGGACTGTTTTGAAGTTGTTTGCCAACATGTGACCTCATGGTTCCGAAGGTCATGACATAAAAGATAATTCTGGATTAGGGTGGCCATTTGGCCCACTTTAATCAAACTATTCGGAGAACCATTCAGTGATACTGAATGACTTTATTAATGATTCCAGAGTGGCTATCTCTGTCTGAAAGCTTTTTTCACATCAGTGCCACTTTTTGTCTGAAGGAAAGAGCATCATATCTGTGCTGAAGTAACGTTTTACAAATTTGAATCAGCATGCCTTAGTTCTAACCTTGTAAATTAGCTAAATATGCTTAATTAACTTTTGCAATATCTTCAACAGTCTTGTAGATACAGTCTTAAATAGAACACCTGTTAAAGATCTTTTCCTGATGCAGAACATGCCACATTTATGAGTCTTGCTTTAGAATTTGCTTCTGACATTCCTGCCAATATTTGGCTATTTTTGGTGCCCAGAACAGAGATGTTGAATCCAGAGGTGGTGTGACAACAGCATCAAAATGTTTGGCTTATATTCTGCCTATTTGGCTTGGGTCACTGATATGATTTTGACTTTAAAATATCTTGTTTGAATTGTTTGGACATAGTAAGGTGACTAAGACTTCTAGGCCTCTATTTTGACCTGAGCTTTCTCAATGTGTTATTTATTTTGTTTTAACATTTCGCTTATAATATTGAGAGTTAGATTCATGAAAGAATTAAATGTTTTTAATAATTGAATATTTTGTCAACATTAAGTCACAGAGTTTTCAGATAGAGATGTTGACAACTTTAATGCAAGTCAGAGTTCAGAATGGTCAAATACTTTGGCTTCCAGTGACCTGGGAGGAATTCATTCTGATGTTCGCGCCTTTGGCGTTTTTCTTTATCTCATGGAGTGTCTTCCCTTTTCATTTTAGAATGTGACCCTTCTTATATTGTTCTTGCTAACATAAGCAAGCTGTTCTGTGTCTCTTTCTCTTTCTCTCTTTCTGTGGAATAAAATAGTATCTGATGTTTAGAACAGATTGTCTCAGACCTTATCTTTAAGCTCTCCGTTTATCTCGGCTGAAGTACACAGTCTCAGTTTGCCTTCTACATTGTCAGAAACAATAACAATTTTTCTCTCAAGCTTTGGGAATAATCTTCCCAGTTTTGAATGGTCTGGTTGAACAGTTCTATGTTTCATTCTTTTCAAACTAAACCTCTGCTCCCAAAACAGATGAAAAAGTCCTTCATCATTTATTTTTCAAAATGGCCTTTGGTGTGAGTGTCTGAAGCAGAAGGCCTCATGATGAAATGTCCCAGGAGTAGTCCTCCTAGAGTTAGCAATATTACAATTGCATCACATAAAAAGATCTTCCACAAATTCAGCACATTGTCTGAGTCTGATGGCAAAGTCTGAAATTAAAAATTTTGGTGGAGTTCGTACTGCAGTATGCTGCTATGCAGAGGGATCTGGGTGTCCTTGAGCATGAATTCCAAAAAGTTGGTTTGCAGATGCAGTAGGTAATTAAGAAGGCAAATGGAGTATTGTCCTTCATTGCTAAATGGATGGAGTTTAAAAACAGGGAGGACATGCTGCAGCTGTATAGAGTGCTGGTGAGGCCACACCTGGAGTACTGCATACAGTTTTGGTCTCCTTACTTGAGAAAGGATATACTGGGACTGGCGGGGGTGCAGAGGAGGTTCACTAGGTTGATTCTG